AAGAGCAACTAATTGAACAGTGTGGATTATAAAGCAGCCATGATCAACTAAAATGAACATAAATTTGTGTCGTGAACCTGAAAAACATGTCAAAACTACGAAGCATATAACTTTTGGAACCAATTCCAATTTCGTAAATTAGCCATAAACCTCTAACAGTTAATTTCTCGAATAGACTCTGACAAGATGGAGATTAATAGACTTACCACACTTTCAGGAACTCCTGGAGGGGGCAATGAAAGGTTTTTTGGTGGAGGGCCACTAAGATAAGATCTTTTGTCAAAGCGCCATTCTCCAATTTTTCCATAAGTCAGTTCACCCTACGTGATTACACAGATGAAATGAATACCTTAAGAAAATATAGGGTAACTGATGATGCAACTAAGTACTTTTTTTATCATAAAGGAAAGAAAAACAATTTTTGGAAGCATAGATTTTTTTATTTTTTTTTATTTTTATTTTTAATTCCAGGATCTATGTACCATAGTTACAGATAAACACTAGCAAAAGAATAGGTGCTATGATAAGATTAAGCAATCAGCTATGTTTTTGTGTGTGCATGCTGACTCTTCCCTACGTGTGCATGATTGAGAGATACCTTTATATTGTAGTCACATCCGTATGTATAGTGGATGATAAACTTGTTACCAACTTCCAAATCCCATGGAGGCTGAGTGGTAAAAGTGATATGCGTTACGTGAGTTGAAACAATATCAAACGAAAAGAAAAAGAAAAAGAAAAAGAAAAGTAAAAAAGATCATCAAACCTGAAGCATGAAATCTTTCCGGAGAATATGGCGGACGCCATGCAATGCAGATGCTACGGCATATGCATACCTTTGTTCAAGATAGAAATAATATAAATATCAATACTATATCAGATATCTCAGGGTATGTTGACAGCCCACAAAGAGAAACTAAAAATATCTCAGATCTTTTGAGAAAAAAAAATGTCAGATCTTCTAAGGTGCTACTTACATTTCAAGCACCCATCCGAAAGCCTTATCAGTCTCTGGGTCGTCTTTCATTCTCAAGGAAATGTTCACCCACGTGGGAGCAATGTCCTCTAGTAGGGACTGAATAAGAAAATTTGGTTAAGACGACATTTTAAGACAATATTGGTACAGCTAAAAGAGAAAAGGTCAGTTGTAATTAAGATGATCAAGGGAGAAACTATCTGATGTAGGCCACTAGATATTTTCTTCTACAGTTACCCTCCTATACAAAGCATTATCACTTCAGTAAGATGCTAGATTATTTCACAAACTGGGTAGAAAAATGAAGCGTTTTACCTTCTTAATGATTACAGGAGAATTGCCAATGGGATCAACATTGTTCACCGGACCTTTTTCCTCAGGATAAAATTTCCTAATTATCTTTTCATTTTGATCGGGTTTTATATAGAAAAATGGAAACGCTGCTGGATGATTTCCTTTCGCCAAATTGGGCAAAGGATTTGCAAATACATGATCAGGTTCTGCCATTAGAATGTACCTGCAGCAACCAAAGAAAGAAGAAGAAGAAAAAGAAAAGAAAAAAAAACATATATCAGATTTCATCAAGGTAGAAAGGATAAAACTTTTAGATAACATGAGTTATAGAAAACCAACTCTTCCTTTATCGTTGCTTTCTCCAACCATTGCACAAAAGCCCATGGCCTATTCAGGACAATATAACCCTGTTCACAAACATAAATAAGAATAGGAATTATCAAACTTGTTTGTCAGAAACTTGGTAAACCATGGTACTGAAAAATAAAAATAGCAAACAAGAGTAGCAATAAGAATCAGCGTTAGAATAAACATATTGCAGCTAAACCAATCAATTCCATAGAAAAGGCAGACAGAATTAAACATCTCTAACTCAACTAAAAATTGGGTTCAGTAATCTCAAGAAGATATCAGCCCATATATACGGTATTGTGGTATTCAATGTAGCTCATTTCTATGTAGCTCATTTCTCTGTCATATGCATAGTTAATGTTATTCCCTGACCTTCATTACAGTGCGTTGGTTTACTATTGTAAACTTCTTCAGCAATAAAAGCAAAGGGCATAGAAATAAGACAAAGAAATATACAAACCAGAATCATTTTAGAGACAAATATCCTATAAACTATACTTATCCCGCAATCGAGATGAGATAACTATGACAACAGTGGTGGAGAAAATTCTCACCCTATCCAAGCCCTGCGGCAGTGGATCAACAACAAAGGTCGGAATCTCCTCCATCAAATTGTCAGGACTTCCTGAATGCAAAACCCGTGTAAATTTCCCCATGTCTGATCCAGGCATATCTTTCATCTTCTTATACCAGTAATACATGATTCGACATTGCCACTGGCTATAAGGAGCATCAGTCGCCGTAAGGGCGACATGAAACTTTGAATTGGAACTCTCCGCTCTCCTAGTTTCTTCAGGCATTCGAGTCAAGGGATCGGACAACTCCGACCTATCAGCAGCCAAACTCCCTGAGTTCGAAGATTTGCTGTGTATTATGATGGTCAATAGATTATACGTTGCAAAGAAAAACCCGAGCGCCAAAAGAACCAGCAACATTGGCGATGGACGCCCATTGTTTTTTCTCCCAATCATCTTGATGTCTCAACAAAGGA